CGGTCGGGGTGACGGGACAGCCCGGGCCCCTTATCGGGGTAAAGGGACAGCCCGGACCCCCTATTGGGATAAAGGGACAGCCCGGACCCCCTAAAGGGGTGACAGGACAGCCGGGCGGTCGGGGTGACGGGACAGCCCGGACACTATCGCGGGGCTCTCGGGCCGTCAGCACTGAAACTGCCCCTCGGCCGCCGAGCCGACTGGCCGTGGCGGTTCCGTAGGAGGGTTGATCCTGGTAGTGTGCGGGACTGTGAGTCGTTAAGGGGGCAGACGGCTCCCCTGGGAGAGGTAAAGGTCACATTAGAAGAAGGCGGCGCCACCCGGACGGAGGACGAGACCTTCGCCCGTGTTACTCGCTTCGTGGATACCTCGGTCGGAGGCAGGGGGAGTTCCCGTTGGCGGAGGCTGAGACGGAGATTCAGAAAGTTGCTGTCGTTTGCTTCCGGCTGCGCGGCTGAGAAGGGACATCTCCTTTGAAAGCCAGCCCTGGTTGTGTGTAATGCAGCGGGGTTCCCAAAGGAAAGTAGAGGGGGCGGCGGAAAAAGAGGAAGGGTCTCCACGAGATGCATTGACCCAGTGGCCGCAACAATGGGCTCACACAGAAGAACCGTTGTGAAGATGGCGCAGGATGGGTGGTGGTTCGTTCTGTTGTAAATAGATAGGGTCGCTATGGGTCTGAGCCGACTGGGTGGCACTAAACAGTAGGATTCCCAAGGGAGTCCTGGTGGCGTATTGGTTACGTGTTGAGCTGCGAAACGCAGGCTCAGTGGTTGGAAACTACCAACCTTCTGGATTCGAAAAATGAGGCTTTCTACTCCCGCTAGGAGTCACCGTCTTGGAAACCCCTGAGGAGAGTTCTATCCCGTTGGCTCACTGTGAGTCAGAATCCACTCGGTGGCAGTGCACTTGGTTTTGAGGAGGGTTGCCAAACTTTTATCTGGCTAAAAAATCCCAGGGTGAAGGTTGGAGTGAAAGAACAGGTCCAGAACTTCACACATTCAAGGTGCAGGTGAGACACTGAGTCTGTATTTTCAAAAAGCCTGGCAGAAAACTATTTGGGAGTAGGAGGTTGATGTGAGCCCATACTGCATCTCTGTGAATGGAACAGGGAGGTGAGCAGGTCATAGTGCTTTGGGGACTCTAGCTAAGGGTACTGGTAAACGTTTAAGGTGGTGGCTGAGAGAAAGTGGCTATCAGGCCTCCTCCCCACATCCATGTGACTGGGGGATTGTTAACTTGATTCTGTCATGACCTCTTGGGCAGATGACAGCATGTCCTCATTTATGAAAGGAGAGGAATTGCATATCACCTGGGGACTTTGTTAAACATATTCGCCTTGAATTCAGCTCAACTTGACTGAGCCTGAAGACCTGAAGATGAGGCTCAGGGGTAGTTAGAGTGAATAAGCTATCAAATGAGTTACTTGTGTTTGAGAACTTGAGGTGTACAGCTTCCTGAAACCAGACCCATTAAGAAATGGGTCAGAAATTCAGAACACGTGGCCAGAGCCATCCAGCTTTGTTTACTTTTGCAGTTGTGCATGCTTCTGAGCTTGCTCTGGGCTGAGTTTTCATTGACAAAGATGTCACATTAGTTTTACTGTGCTTAAGAGGTGGGTTTTTCAGTAACCAAAGACTGGCATCTAATCCAGGAGCCCTGGCAGCATAGTGGTTATGCATCCGACTGCAAGGTCAGCAGTTCAAAACCACCAGCTGCTCCTTGGGAGAGCGAGGAACCGTCTACTTGTGTCAGTGATTACCGTGGGAAACTCACAGGGCAGTTCTCCTGTGGGGTAGCTTTGAGTCAGCATGGGCCCAATGGCATCCTGGCTGTTTGGTTTGGGCATCTAATAAAATTTGAATGTTAACCTACGTGCTATTAATTTCCTCTGTGACTTTGCGTCCGCCATTTAACTTACTGGTCCCCATACATCCATGCACATCATCTCCTGTACTGCTTTTTATAAAAATATGCTTGTGTCTACCCCAAATCATGTTTCCTGGATGTTGAGGATGAATGTGCTAAGCTGTCAGGGACATTTGATGTAGCTAGCTGATAAAATATGGATATTAATATGAAAATTCACTTTAAAACCGAGCTGTAAGTTGTACGCTGTGTTTCAGAGACCTGAGAGGTGACAGTGGGAGTGTTTGGGGGCCTTAGGCTCTGGGGCACTAATAGAGTAATGTGGCTTAATGTAGACTCTGGCTTTGGAATTTTTTAATACGCACATTCTTGTAAAAGAAAGGGAGGTTAAGTGATATGATTACAAAAGCTGAACATTAACGACGGTGACTTCCATTGAGATCCTGTGATGACAGAAATTGAATTTGCATAGTAGCTCTGGGTTACTACTGAGCCATCTCTTCTGTCTCAAAGGTTATAATCACTTGCTCATAGTCCAAGCTCTGAGATACCTGGCGGCACAACGGCTAGGTGCTCAGCTGCCAGCTGAAAGGTTAGTGGTTTAAATCCACCAGCCACTCCACAGAAGCAAAGACCTAGGAATTTACTTCTGTCAAGATGAAAAAGGACCAGCAATCCTCAACGTTGTCCTGGAGTTGATTCGACTCACAGCCAGGGGTGGCCCCAGTCTGTCTTGCTGGGTTGCTGTGAGTGGAATCCATTGACATAGTCATCCAAGGGCACAGCCCAGACTACAACCCCTCCCCCTGTCCCCCCTTCTTGTTTTTAGAACAGCATTTGGTTGCTTGAGCATCTGGAATGAAATCTTCTGAAAGTCAAGAACAGAAGCCTTTTTAAAAAAAAGCCTTCAGTCAAGATGGAGAACAAAAGACAACGCGCCCGAGTGCAGGGAGCCTGGGCCGGGCCTGTGAAGAGCCAGGCCAGGGCCCCACCCGGTAAGGATCTCTGCGGTGTCTGTTACCACCACCCTCTTTGTCAGCTATAGATGCGGTGGTTTAGACTACACTCCCACTTCAATTGATGTTCAAGGGCTTGTTTAAAACAAGGTCAGTGTTTTGGTTTTTGTGGATCATAATCTAAGGTTGGATCTTAATGTTCTTCATTTTTAGTTCTTACCCTCAAATCCCTCTGTGTGTGTGTGTGTGTGTGTGTGTGTATGTATGTGAAGGTCTTCTGTTCGCTTTACCGACATGCCCTAGTTTATCCCTGGGTGAATTCAATAGAAGGTGATGCAAGGCAACTTTGCCCTGGTTTGAGACTGTTGTCTCTCTTTCTTCAGCTGCCACTGCTAAGAGTCATCTCCACCAGAGGCCGAGTCAGACCTGGAGGACCCAGGAACCTCACCTGTCTGACGGGGAGTTTGTGTTCACAGAGCCCCAGCAGGTAAACTCTTGCTTCTTCTTCAACAGTGACAAGGGTTGACTTTAAAAAGCTCTGTTCACATAGTCAACATTCCACTCAGTAGTGAGTCCATGCTGACTCATAGTGACCCTACAGGACAAGGTAGAACTGCCCCTGTAAGGTTCTGAGACTGCAACTCTTAAAAAAAAAAATTATATCTATATATATTTATCATTTTATTGGGGGCTCATACAACTTTTTTTATCATTTCATTGGGGGCTCGTACAACTCATCACAATCTATGCATACATCCGCTGTGTCAAGCACATTTGTACATCTGTTGCCATCATCATTCTCAAAACATTTGCTTTCTACTGGAGCCTTTGGTATCAGCAACTCATTTTTTTCCCTCCCTCCCCAGCCTCCCTCACGAATCCTTGATACTTTTAAAATTACTATTATTTTACCATGTCTTACACTGACCGATGTCTTCCTTCACCCACTTTTCTGTGGTCCGCCCTCCAGTGACGGAGTTATATGTAGATCATTATAATTGGTTTCCCTTTCTCCCCCACCTTTCCCTTCCCCTCCTGGTATCACTACTCTCATTATTGGTCCTGAGGGTTTATCTGTCCTGGATTTCCTGTGTTTCCAGCTCTGATCTGTACCAGTATATGTCCTCTGGTCTAACTGGCTTTGTAAGGTAGAATTGGGATCATGATAATGGTGGTGAGGAAACATTAAAAAAGTAGAGGACAGTTGTATGTTTCATCGTTGCTCCACTGTGACTTGTCTCCTTCCCACGGCCCTTCTGGACTTTGGGTCTTCACTCCACACTCCCCCTCATTCACGATAATATGATTTTTTGTTCTTTGATGCCTGATCCCTTGAACACCTCATGATCACACAGGCTGGTATGCTTCTTCCATGCGGGCTTTGTTCTTTCTCAGCTAGATGGCCGCTTGTTTATCGAGGCTGCAGCTCTTAATGGGAGTAGAAAGCTCTGTCTTTCTTCCAAGGAGCGGCTTGTGGTTTTGAACTGCCGACCTTGCAGTTAGCAGCCCAATGTATAACAACTACTGCACCAGGGCTCCCTAATATACCACTAGGTGACTGAGTGCATTCACTAATAAATAGGAGAGTGGGGTGCCTTTCACGGTAATGAAATGTGAAGGACCAGTTCCTTAGTATGCCGGAGAATTTCTTGTAACCCGCCCCCAGTCTACGTCATTGTGTATTCGTCCTGCTTTGTAGGCCAGAGGCTGTCCCGGAGGACCATGGACCTCGGCCCTCCGCGCTCTTCCAGCCCTGAAACCATGCTGTCTTCAGTGCTAGCACAGCGGACCTCTCTGGGATTGGGTTGGAATTTTTTACAAAATGCCTGCTGCTTTTTAGCATTTTTTTTTCTGCAAAGAAAGATGCACGGTATCCTTGATGATGTGCCTTTTTTTGTTTTGTTTTACTAATTTTATTGTGATAAAATATCTATCACCCAGCATTTGCCGTTTGAACCTCGGAAGTGTACATCTGTGACATGCGTAGTCATCCCCTCTGCCTGTTTCCAAAGTGTTTCAGCCCGCCAGGGGGAAACTCCTCGGGCAGAAATTCTTCGTTCTCTTCTCCCCTGCACTCGCCTATTCTCGATGGTTCAGATGAGTGAGATCCCACAGTATTTGTCCTCTTGTAGCTGAGTTCTTTCACTCAGCTTCTTGCTTTTAAGTCTCCTCCATGTCAGACCATGTATGGGCTTTGAATATTTTTGTGGCTGAATAATGATCGTGTGTTGATGTACCACATTTCATTGATTCGGTCATCTGTTGAATTGCTTCTACCTTTTGCTTATTACAAATAGTATTGTAATAAGCACCGGTGTACAAGTTTCTGAGTTCCTGTTTTTGTGTCTTTGGGGTGCCTACTGTGAGTAGAATTGCTGGGTCTCATTCTGTGTTCAACATTGTGAGACCCTGGCCACTGTTTTCCAAAGTGCCTGTGCCGTTCATCATTCCCATCAGCAGCGGCTGCAGGTTCCTGTGTCTACAGCCCCAATGCTGGTACCGTCTGTTTCTCTCGTCAGGGCGGTCTTCACTACCACTGGACCCATGCCCGCTCAGAGTAGCCCTGCAGCACAGGGTAAAACTGCCCCTGAGAGTCTTCAAGACGAGAGCTGTTTATGGTAATAGAACAGATCCCGTCCTTCTCCTGTGGAGCAGCTGGGGTTTTCAGACTGCTGCCCCTGCAGTTAGCAGTGCAACTCGTGACCTCTGTGCTACCAGGGCTCCTCAAGAGCCATCTAGGAGAGTGGTAGCCTCTGGTTTCCATTTGCATTGTCCTAATCACCAGTGACATTGAGCTTCTTTGCATGTGGCTCTTGGTCGTTTATAGATCTCCTCTGGAGAAATAGCTATTCAAGCCCATTGTCCATTTTTTCATTGAACTACCGTCTTGTTGAGTTATGGGAGTTGTTTATATATCCTGGATATTGAAATGTTATCAGACAAATGTTTACCACATATTTCCACCCTTTCTGTTGGTTGTCTGTTCACTTTCTGGATGAAGCCCTTGGTGAACCAAAGTCCATTCTGATGCAGCCCTGTTGGTAGTCACTTTTGGTGCCATACCTAAGACGCCAACCGCTTTTTGCTGACGCTTTGCCAAGTGTGATAGCCAAACGTGTGAGGCACATGGTGGCGGTTCTTCTTCTGAGACAGGTGTTTGTTCTTCCGGCAGTCCATGGGACCTTCCTTATTTGCTACCAACACCATCATTCAGATTGATTAATCCTTCCGTCTTCCTTATTCAGTGTCCGACTGTCATGTGCACATGAAGAAATGGAAGCAGTGGACTATGTCATTGGTCTCTTGACCGCTGCTTCCCTGGCACTGACTGTGGATCCAAGCAAGATGGATTCCCTGACAGCTTCAGGCTTCTCTCTGTTCATCATGATGTTGTCTGTTGGTCCAATTGTGAGGATTTTGGTTTTCATGCTGAAGGCTGCAGGCTTCTTGGATTTTCTTAAGTATTGTTTTATCATTTGTACGGTACAAGCCGTTTACCTGCCTGGTTAAGTTTGCTTCTACCTATTTAGTACTTTCAGATGCTATTGTGGTGTAATTATTTGTTCGTTTTCTTGCTATCTTGTTTGCTGTATAGAAGTAGTTGATTTTGGGTTGATCTTAGACCCTGCAGCGTCGCAGAATCCATTGATTCGCTTTAGGAGCTTCCTTGTGGTTTCTTTGAGACTTTTTCTATGTGAGGCCATGTCATCTACAAATAGAAATAGTTTTATTCCACCAGTATGCTGAGCACATCACCTGAGAAGGTGGACTATATGAAGGAGAACTTGGCATCAGGATTGGAGGAAAACTCGTTAACTATCTCTGAAATGCTGGCCGAACCCAATCTTGCTGGCCGAAAGTAAAGAAAGGCTTGAAGCACATGCTGCTGAGTATCAGAGACGGCATGGGTTAACCTCAACATAGGACAAAGATCCTCAGGACTGGACCAATAAGCAACATCATGCTAAATATTCTGAGAAAATATTGAAACTAGCAAGGACTCCCTTGTATTTGGATCCACAACCGATGCTCATGGAATCCGCAGTCAAGAAATCAAAATGACAGTTTGCATTGTCTAGGTCTGTTGCCAAAGGTTGTTGAAAAGCAGAGACGTCACTTTGAGGACTGAGGTGTGCCCGCCCGCCGTGATCTCTCTGACTGCCACATGTGCTGGCACAGACTGGAAAGGGAATAAGAAAGGCAGAAGAACGAGTGACACCTTTGAACTGTGGTGTCGGTGAAAACGACTGACTATACCAGAAGAGCCAACAGATCTACCTGAAAGGAGTACAACCCGAATGCTTCTCAGGAGTGAGGGCAATGGGACTTCAGCTCTACATACCTAGGGCATGCTGTTGTGGACCCGTTAGTGGAGAAGCGTGTCACGCGTGGTAAGGTAAGGGTCGGTGGAAACCAGGAAGACATTCAGTGAGAGGGTGACGCGGCTGCTGCAGCCGTGAGCTCAGACAGCCACGATGGTGAGGGCGGCTCAGGAGGAGCAGGCAGCGTTTTGTTCTGCTGTCCTGAGGGGTGCTCTGCTCGGAACTGACTTCCTGTAAATCAACAGGATTTCCAGAATGGTGTTGACTAGCAATGGTCAAAGCAGGTAACCTCTGATTTCTGTGCTTAGGGGAGAATTTTTCAGTTCTCCATTGGATGGGATGGTCATACATGCTCATTCTGTTGCAGTTCCCTTTTATTCCTAGTTGTCGAGTGTTATTATAATGAACATATTTTGGATTTTATCAAATACCCCTCGATATCAATTGGTTGATTTTCTTATTTTGAACCACCTTTATATTTTCATGTTAGATCTCATTTGCTCACATAATCCTTTCGCGTGTGTTTTGGTTTTTCAATACTTCCCTGAAGGCTTGGGGTCTGTATTCATAAGGAATAAGGAGCCTTGGTGGAACACTGAGCCAGGTGAGTTGGGCTGTTAACCACAGGATCAGCAGTTTGAAACCAACAGTTGCCTTGCAGGAGAAAGATGAGGCGTTCTTCTCCCGTAAAGACTTAGTCTCACACAATGGATGGATGGATGGATTGTGATAAAAGCTGTACGAGCCCCCAATAAAATGATTTATACATATCATCCATATGCATACATATCTGTAACCAGTGGCAGTTCCACTGTCTTATAGGGACTCCATGAGTGTGAACTGACCTGGTGACAGTGAGTTTGGCTTTTAAAAAATGCTTGTTCTCATGAGGGAGGGAGGGGGGAAATGAGGAGCTGATACCAAGGGCTCAAGTAGAAAGAAAATGCTTTGAAGATGATGATGGCAACATATGCACAAATGTGCTTGACACAACGGATGAATGTATGGATTGTGATAAGAGATGTAAGAGCCCCCAATAAAAGTATTTAATAAAAAAATGCTTATTCCCGAAGGTAGCGGTTTGTTGCTTTCTTTGTTATAGAACCTTTATCTGTCTTTGGTGTAAGGGGCATGCTGCCCCAGGATGGGTTAGGAAGAGATTCCTCTTCTAGTTTTCAAAAGAGTCTGAGAAGACTTGGTGTGAGTTCTTTAAGTGCTTGGTGGAATTTACCCCTGAAGCCAGCCTGTTGAGATTTTGTATTTCTTCTCCAGTCTCTCTGTGTAGTTTGTTTAGTCTGTTTTTAATAACCTGGGGACGCCCGGGGAATGGGGAGCTAAAAATCCAGTATCTTGCTGTGGTAACGATTGTGTTAATGATTATCAAAACCTCCTATTATTATTATTTTAAATCTCCTATAAAGAAGGTTTTTCCAGAGCTGCCAGGCAAGCGGATGAGTTCTCCTTGGATCCGTTCTCACTGTTCTCTAGCAAGGGTGCGGCACTCAGAAGGCAAGTAGAATTAGGGGTCTCTGGTAGGGTCAGCTGGGCATAAAAAGATTTTTTAAAAATTTAAAACCGGACCAGAAACAGGAGGATATGGTAACCCGATTCTGGAGGTAAGTCTCCCCAGGAATTCGATATCTTTCCAACAGTGAGGTCTGCCTGTTTCCTTTCAGGTTGTGCGCAGAGCCCCGGAGCCGCGGGTGATTGAGTAAGTAACATACCACTCAAGGCGAAACGGAGATCCTGGATCTTCCCCCAGCCCGGGTTTTCCATCCGAAAAGATAGTGGCTCAATGAGTGTCTACATTTTAGGCTGGGCAGTTCCTATCTCAGCTGTCTATAAACATGGGCTTGGGAGAAGCCTGTCTGCCCCTGCCAATTGGTGCTGTGGAAAATGCACGATCTCCGAACAGTGAACGTCAGCCCTGGTGTAGGTCCCCTGGCCCTGTTTCCCTTGTGTCTGCATGTAGTCAGCGGAAGCATCTCCTGACCTCAGTAAAGCAAGGCCGAGGAGCGTGTTCCCAGAGACACTGAGGTGTGGCTCTATGGGAAGAAGCGTTGCGAGTACTGCTGTACTAGTGTAAGCAGGGTGCAGCAGCAGCGTCTGACTTCCTGGGCCAACTTCTCAAGGAGGAGGGAGATTCACCGTTAGCATCAGCCCCGTGAAGAGGGAGGAGGCACACTTCCCTCACCCATTCCTTATATAAGGTCAGCATTTCCCCAACACCAAAGCCAGATAAAGATACTGCAAGAAACACCAATTACAGACAAATATCCCTTATGAATATAGACCCAAATGCAGCTTCCTGTGAATGGAGGTCAGACGTATCTCGTCTCTCCTACCTTCCTTTCTACCACATTTGATGCAGTCATCCCTCCCGCCTCCATACTACTACTCTTCTGGCCACGGTAATTTGGTGTAGTGGCCATGCAGAACTTCCAGACCATTCTCGTGATTGTGGGTCTGGTCAGGGAAGTGGCAGGCTACCATTCAGGATCAGAAATGATGCAGGATAAAGTTCTTCCATCAAGACAGCCTCTTTTCAGCTGTGCCCACAGGTGGGGCTTTCTTTGACCCTCAGCTCCCTGGCCTGGCCTCTGTTTAGATTAGTGTTGCAAAGCTAGCTCTTTGGCCTGCTAAGTGCCTGGGGCACCCCTCTTCTTCAGGAAGCCACCCCTCATTCACTGTAACCACCATGTGCCACGGGCCAGAAGGACCTTCTCACCCAGGACCTTCTCACCCAGGTGTCCTGGCTCTGCACCATCATGCGCCATCCATCGCTGGTGCGTTAGCTCCTTCTCTGTCTTCTGAGTCTAGGAGGTTCTCGGCAGGGAACCCCTGGCCAAGCACATGCTCCACTCCCAGCTCCCGAGGCTCAGGATTCCCCTGCTCCTCCCTCTGGGGTGGCTCATTTTAAACCTAGGAGGATGGCGGATCTCCCCAATCTCCTCTTTAGGGTTCATAAGCCTTATTTGCATGGTCCCATCTGCACAAGGGTGCTGTGCACCTTATTAGCATCATCAACAAGCTGTTCAGCCCCCTTGGTAGGTCACAAGCACCTTATTTGCCTATTCTTACCCAAACATTTGGTGGGAGTCACATGACCATTGCAAGAGAGGCCACATAAAATCAGTCCAACACACCACAACTAGCAGTGCTTGTAAAAGCTGCTCGAAGTTTGGAAAGCTCACAGTCCGTGTATTAAACCCACATGGTTGTTCCAGAGCAATTTTAACAATGGTCAACACTCCTTTTATACTGAGCTGTGTCTAAAATGTTCTTGTTCAGAACTTGCGAGCAATGCTATCCCTCCTCTTTTTCTGCGCGTCAGTTTCCATCGACTGGGGGAAAATCCTCAGTGGAAGCATGTTGACCAGCCCAGCGTCACGTGCACATCATCGTCCATGAGCCATCCGCTGTGATGGATGGCTGTTTGCGGATTGGCTTGTATATCTTTGAACACATTTTTTTGTTTTCAAACAGTGTTCTTTGAAAGAGGATACTTAGTGTTGTTCCTGCCACTGGCTAGCTGTGTAACCCGTCCTTGGATGATAAGTTATCACCATCTCTCTGGACTTCTGCTTCCTTGCCTGCAAATGTAGGAGTTGGGACTACATAGTAATTGAATGCGCAGTGTACATCTAGTAGTCTTTAATTGTTTCACAAGTACCAGTGTGGCATTGCCTCCATTGGTGGTAAAGAGAATTAAAACCCTTTAGAAGGTACAGGTGGTGTAGTCAAATTGGAAAAGTGGGCAATTGTGAGTTTGTGAGAAATGAGACAGAACCCATTCCTACTTGGCCCTAGTGTTTGTTAAATCTAATGCTAACTGTGCTACTGGGGCGAGTGTCTGAGCCACAGTGCCTCTCTCGCTTCCCCGGTGCCGCCCGTGATCACGATGCACTGGTCTGCCCCAGTCCTCATGGCTTGCTTTCCCGTGCTCTGTAACTAGCGGCGTGGCCTTGGCTCTGTGGACATCATTACGACCTCAGGAGGTGATTTATCTTTCTCTTGAGTTTGTCCTATTTAAGACTTAGTTAAAGGGTCTCTCGAAATAAATTTAACTATATTATTTTTATTCCTCCTACTTAATAGTCAGGGATGATCCCCACATTAAAAGCGAGCCAATTTATAACTGTGACCCCAAATATATATCACATTGAAACATTGTGAACTTTGGGGAAATTTATAGGCAACTCATTTATTTATTTTATATATACTCAAAAACTCCAAATTCACTGCCATCCAGTCAGTTCGGACCCTCAGCGACCTTACAGGACAGGGTAGAAGTGCCCTCTGTGGGTTTCCGAGGCTGTGACTCTTATGGGAGTGGAGACCCACGTCTTTCTCCCGTGAGCTGCTGACCTTGCAGATCTAAGCCCGAGGCATAACCACTGTGCTGCCGGGGCATGCGTGCGTGCGTGCGTGCGTGCGTGCGTGCATGCATGCGGTGTTAGGTGCCAGCAAGTCAGTTCCAACTCCTGCACAACAGTTGTACTATGTACAATTGACTGAGACGGCCTGGTCCTGTGCCATCCGCACAATTGTTCTCATGTTTGGTGAGTGGCCCATCGATGCTGCCGCTGTGGTATCTGCCCGTCTTGTCAATGGTCTTCCTCCTTTTCACTGTCTTGCTACTTCACCAAGCATGGTGTCCTCTTCCAGGGACTGATCTCTCCTGACAACACATCCAGCACCTTAGTCGTGGAAGTAACATCCCCGCTTTTCAACACCTGTTTCTCGATCCGTGCACTGGTTCTGCCTGAGCACAGTGTAGTGTTCTGAGATTCCCGTTCTCCATGAGGCTATCCATAGTCTGTTATGGGCCATGCAGCCGAATGCCTTTCCATAGTCAGCCAAACACAAGTAAGCATCTTTCTGGTATTCTCTGCCTCCAACCAGGATCCAGCTTACATTAGCAATGATATCCTTTTTTCCACGGCCTCTTCTGAATTTGGTCCGAACCTCTGGCAGTTCCCTGCCAATGTACTACTGCAACTGTTGCTGAATAATCTTCAGCAAATTTTTTCTTTCTTTTTAATAAATAATTTTATTGGGGCCTCTTACAGCTCTTATAACAATCCATACATCCATTGTATCGATTACACTTGTACATATGTTGCATCACCCTTTTCAAAACATTGTTTTTGTACTTGAGTCCTTGGTATCAGCTCCTCTTTTTTATCCTCCCGCCTCCACCCTCCCACCTGTGTGACCCCTTGATAAATCATCTATTAATTGTTATTATTTTTGTATTTTACATCATCTGTCTCCCTTCACCCACATTTCTGCTATTCATCCCCCTGGGGGGGGGGGGAGGGGTTTTTCCTTGATCATTGCGGTCATTTCCCCACCTTTTCCCTCTTCTCCCCCGACCTTCCCCCTACCCTCATGGTATCACTGTTCCTGAGGGGTTTATCTGTCGTGGATTCCATGTGTTGAGAGCTCTTACCTGTACCAATGTACAAAATCCTGTCTAGCAGGATTTATAAGGTAGAACTGGGGTCATGATAAATGGGCGGGGGTGGGGGGAAGCATTAAAGAACTGGAGGCATGTTGTATGTTTCCTTGGTGTTATACTGCTCCCTGACTGGATTTTCTCTTCCTTGTGACCCTTCTGTGATGGGATGTCCAGTTGTCTACAGATGGACTTTGGGTCTCCACTCTGACCCCCCTTGTTTACCTCAATATAATTGTTTGGGATCTTCTGATACCTGATCCCCATCGACACCTCCTAGTCACACAGGCTGGTATGCTTCTTCCTTGTGGGCTTTTTTGTTTCCCTGCTAGATGGCTGTTTGTTTAACTTCTAGCCTTTAAGACCCCCGATGCTATATCTTTTAATAGCCAGGCACCAGCAGCTTTCTTCACCACATTTGCTTATGTGCCCACTTTGTCTTCAGTGATCGTCTCAGGAAGGTGAGCATCACGGAATGCCAGGCTATTAGAACAAAGTGTTCTTGCATTGAGGGAGGACTTGGGTAGAGGCCCAAAGTCTGTCTCAGCAAAATTTCACTTGCTTTTGATTTCAATGACATTGTTCGACAGTTTAAGCCTTCTGTTGGGTCACTGTTGTTTGGAATGAGCACAAATATGAATACCTTCCAGTCAGTTGGCCATATAGCTGTCTTCCAAATTTCCTGGCATGGACTAGTGAGTGATTCCAGAGCTTCATCAGCTCCTTGAAACATTTCCATTGCTATTCCATCAGTTCCTGGAGCCTTGTTTTTGGCTGATGCTTTCGGTGCAGCTTGAACTCCTTCCTTCAGCACTCTTAGTTCTTGCTCACACGCTACCTCCCGAAATGGTTGAATGTCAACTCGTGCTTTTTGGTACAGTGACTCCGTATTCTTTCCATCTCCTCTTGATGCTTCCAGTGTATACATTAATATGTGGTACATATTTATGGCAGTATATTCCGCCACTTTCCTCACAGAGACATATCTCCCGCAGAGGCTACACATATCTGCCCTAACCAAGGCAGTGTGAAAGGGGTCACTTGTCTAGTTCTCGGGACTGCTCTGCTCAGGTCTCGACACCGTGGTCTTGGCGACACCCATGTCCAGTTTGTCTCCTTGTTCTCATCAGGGGCCTAACCCCGCTGCTCAGGACCCACAGTTCCTCAGATCTGATGACCTCCAGTCGGCTTTCATTGCTTGTCTATTAGGTGCTGGGTACTGGCAAACAGAATAATAACCAAAACAGAAAAAAGCCAAACTCACTGCCATTGCGTCAATACTGACTCATAGTGACCTTAGCAGTGCAGTGCTTGTGCATTGGGCTGCGATCCACCAGGTTGGCTGGCAGTTGGAAACCACTAGCAGCTTCTTGGCTGAAAGGGGCTTTCTACTCTCATAGCCAGTTACAGTCTCGGGAACTCACAGGGCCCGTTCTACCCTCTCCTACAGGGTCACTGTGACTCAAGTCCACAGCCTACTAGTAGATGTCAGTAGATACATTGTGAAACAGTAGGCCCACTGGTGGCACGCGGGGGCAAGGTGATTGCCAGTCTTTCATCACATTAAAGGTCAGGCAAGACTGAGAGAAGGTCATGCTGAGGTTTTGAGGTCTGCATGAGTTTTCTACTAGGTCAAAGTTGGGAATACTGGGTAGCAGGAAGGCATTCCAGCACGTGGGAAGCCGTGGCAGTGTGTGCAGTGTGTGCAGTTAGAGCCCTGGTGCCATTTGTGGAAGATGCCATGCAGCCTATAGTTGCTGGAGGAGAGAATTGGTAGAAACTGTCGGGAGATAGAGCTGGACCACCAGGACCTAGAATACAGCACTCTGGGTTTGATGGGGAGCCATCAAAGTACTTTAGCCCAATGTGGAACCTCACTGGACACGTGTGAAAACAGTGGAAGTCAAGAGCCCTGAGATTTATTTACTGTTTGTTAAATTCACCCTTCATCCCACAGTCTCCAACACGGTGCTCTGCCTGTTCCCCCTGTACGCAATGGGTTTCTGGATCATACCAAACCAAGTTGTGGACAATGTAGAAAAGGGCAGCGTTCATTTATACCATTCCACATCTCCGTGGTCAGGGTTCTGTTCGCATGGCTTCTTACCATTACGTCACGATGGAAGTGCTCGCTCTGCTCAGTCTGCTCCATCATAGCAGCTCAGTTAAGTTGAGCTAGAATTTTGGAAACTCAGAAGGACAAAAGGATACATTGCTTTACATCGCACAAACACGTCTGTGTTAGTCTGGGTACTTTAGAGAAACTAATTCACAGAAACTCATGTATAAGAGAGTTTTATATAAAGGTTAAGTGTGCATCAAGAAAACATCCCAACCCAGTGCTGCCCAAGCCCACAAATCCAACGTTAACCCATTAACCTATATGTCCAACACCAAACCACAAAGTCCTCCTCCATCTCACAAAACACACGCAATGATGCTGACTGCAGGAGGAAAGCCGAGTCAGTGAACATGTAAGCATCTCAGCAGTGGCAGGGGTCTCCACACAGCTGCTCCAGCACCCAGGGCTGCATCAGGATAGGTCCATGAGGCTTCTCCTCACGGATGTCTTGCAGGAAGTGAGCCTTGCCAGCTGAAGCAGGGAAAGGGCTAAGGCAGCTACACCCTGGTCCGATCATCAGAAAGCAAGAGACCCGAGAACTAGAAAGGCAAGGCTTACTGAGCCATTTATCACTCCACCTTTCAATTAACCCCACATGTGTTTCTCGGCTAGGTTGATACAATAAACTAACTCAACGTCCGTTTCTTTTGTTTCCTTAGCAAGGAGGGTGTGCATGAAATCAGCTTCGCCCCCACCGGCGTATCCAGGTGAGTGACTCCTGAGCAGACAGTGACTGCATCCTTTACCCACTAAGGCCCAGCGCCCAAATGTTTCGCTTCCTTAGTTCAAGTAGATAACTTCTGCCCCCTGAATTGTTGGGCAGCAAGAATTTGGTAAGAATTCCTTTATGTGTGGCATTTTCAGCTTCCGAACATTTCCTCCGTCCCTCTGTCAGGTGGAGTAACTAGTACTTCCCCCGTCTATCAGATGAGTGCTTGAGAACTGAAGAGATCGAGCCCTTTGTCCGAGGGCCAAATAGTCTATGAGCAGAGTGGGGTCCAGGCACAATTTCTACACTGTGGGCCTTTTTTGCTGTATCCCGGTGGATTTCTAGAAAAGGAAGGACAATACCAAGGATGTATTTGGGATTAGCCATGGTTTTAAGAACATTTTGAAAGCTTGCCTTAACACACAAATATACTAATTGTCACTCTGAGTCATTTAAAACAAATGTACCAGACCTTTCATATCATCTAACAGCCTAACTCTGGTTCCACCAGACTTGAGAACCTGTCATTAGTCGTTGGTGCTGTTCAGAATCCTTCTCGGAACCTTCCTGTTGGAGCCAGCCTACCAGTCCTCCGAGAACCTCAGGGGTTGTTGTAGTGGTCTCATCCCACTGTTATCCAGTCTGCGTGCCAAATGACTCTCAGAAAACCAAATGCACCATCAAAGCGTGAGGGTTTGCCACCATCAGGGCGGCTCAAGAGAATGTCCCATCGGGTCCCACAGCCCTTCTTATGGTGATCCCAAACCAGTCGGAGCTAATTTGGCATTGTTGAGATAAGCATGTTCTGGATGATGGAAAGAACCACCCTTATTCTGATACAGTCATCGAATGATCGACAGCTTTCCCTGGAATCCGCAGGGTCTCAGGAGACTGCAGTGTTAAAATCACCTGGGGATGGGGGTGGGGGTCAGGTGCTCGTTATTTTATTTCCTTCTCACAGTAACCCAGTAAGGTGGGGATCATCTTCATGTTCCTGGTGAGAAAGCCGAGGCTCCGAGAAGTAACTTGTCCAAGGTCCCAGAGCTGAGCCGAGCTGAGCAGCATCGGCACGACGATCCCTTGATTAGCTTCACAACAGAAAAGCCGTCTCGATGCCTTTCATCCTCCTCTGCTTGTCTGATTTCTCTTAACATGAAAGGGGCGAATTTCCCATCAGGAGCATGGTGACCTGGGGGATGAGAATAGGCTTGCTTGTCATGGGAAATGTGGTCTGCTGGTCTCATGGACCCACAAAGGAAGCATTCAAGTGAACGTGGTGCTCTAACAGAGTCGACCCTATCTGTTCCTTGGTTCACAATGGCTCTTTCTGTCTCAAAGGGTGTGTTTGTATCCTGGCTTTGTGGACCTGAAAGAAGCAGACTGGATACTGCAGCAGCTTTGTCAGGATGTTCCCTGGAAACAGAGGACCGGCATCCGAGAGGGTGAGTATGTCTCTGGGACAGTGGGTTATTGCCTGCCCCTCCCCCCCTGCCCCACAGCATTTTTCTCACCGCAACTGGTCTTAAGCAGAAGTGTCAAACCCAGCGAGGCCCTGAGGCTGAGTAGGGGATCCAGGCAGAGCCAGCAGGTGGACAGGGCAGGGATCAGAGTGAACATGGAAGGAATCGGGTGCTGGAGGTGGCCGTCAGGGATTCAAAAAAAGCTTGGTTTGGTCGAGTGGTGGTTGACGTTTCTCTGTCTCAGTTTGCTGCTTTTATTAGTTCCAATGGTGCCAACTTGGCTTCCTTCATAGGAAGCTGGGGCGCCTTCATGTGTCTGATGCTGCGTGCCCTATGTTTGGTTGCTCTCCTTCTGAGGGGTCTTTGGTTCTCACTTTACCTTCGCCGGGACATGCTAGTCTCTGTAGCATCAAAGTCTGCATGCTCCTGGCCGTGTAAGGATGGTGACACAACACGGCTTTTACCTGACTTGGCAGCTGCTCCTCTGTGGGCATCCACAGCAGTTATACCAGAGATGGCCACTGGAGGGCGGCTGTGTGCCAGCATAGAATTCTCCGGCTCAGGAGTGAACTGGAATTTTCTGTGAAGAAAGAGGCTTCATTTCTGTGACTCTGACATTAGTCCAGGAGACCGCTTGGGTAGGGCACCTTTCTCCCGATAATTTCCACAATAGGAATTTTTTGTGGTGGCTCATTTTTAGCAAATTCCAGTTAGGTAGCTCTTTCTGTGAGGTGCCATGGAGTCTGTACAATAGAACTAATGAACAGATTACGTAGTATGCGGTAGTTGTGATCATTCAATCAGATCATGCGCGGTAACCTCCTAACAGAACACCTGTTTCGCCCGGATCCTTCAGTGCTTGTTAGCCACCCTGACTAGTTGCTCTCGTGGTAGATGCTGACATCCACTGTGGGAGAATCAGCCCACCTAGATAAGTCTGGATGCCAAAGGCCGAAGTCAGCTAGATGCTATAGTTGGCCAGAGCTTTTTTCTTCATTTGAAATCAAAAGTGGTGGTACAGCATTGGACCACAAGGGTGAGCAGTTTGTCTGGTTTCTAGGCCTGGACATTGTGCCACTAATTCCTGCATGCGACATTAGACACCCAGTCACCTGCTGCTTTGGAACCTTCCCTCACTGGACCCTGCTGTGCCCGGGGTGACTCCTTCTCCTTTGCTTATGTCATTAGCGATGCCAACAAGCCACGCAAGTCTCCTCGCAGTCTTACCCAAGGCTTTCTCTGCCCCAGCGCTTCTCTTGTCTTTTCGTCCTCTGGGCTCTCGCCCATTCTGCTCCTCAAACCCCAGGTTCTTCGTGAAGGCAGAGCCCATTGTGAGCTTCCTTTGCCTTTCTGGTGACTTCTTGCATGCTGTGAGGCACAACGTTGAGACTCAGTAGGTCCTCCGTAACTAGCATTTCATTTCAAAGGCCCTGTATTTTCTTTCTCAGATATAACTTATCAGCAACCAAGACTTACCGCCTGGTATGGAGAACTTCCTTACACTTACTCAAGAGTCACTATGGAACCCAATCCTCACGTATGTTGCGATATTCTCCCTGGGCATGGTTTTATAGACTCTCTGTTCTGAATGTGGAGTGGTATAAAGATAATTGTCAATTACCTAGCAGAGGTGCATGCTGGTTGCTAGTTCAGAAGGTCCTCTGGAGCAACACAGAGATCCTTGTGCTTGTTAATCCTGTACATGCTTTTAATCTATAGATGGGCCCAGAAGATGACAAACAACTGTAAGCAGAGGCATCAGAAACCGAGTGTAAGATTTCAGAAAGGAAACATTTTAAAAACCATTATTTCCCCTAATCTTCCCTGCTACCAAGCTTCTCTGGCCGGTAGCCCTGTGTGCGCGCACCTGATGCACATTGGCGGTGGGGCCAGGGCACTTCGACGGCTCACTTTGATGAAGTCACAGTGTCTCTTTCCACTCCTCGGCTCTTTTGCCATTTGTGGGGACACAGGGAACGGTTGTTTTCTGTTGACTTCTGTATTCATTCTATGGCTGAAGCTCACAGATTTCCAGCTTATCCTTGCTTGGGTCTGTTTCTATTGCGTCTTTTGTTTTTGAAATTTTCCATGACACCAGCCTGGGATAGTCTAGAATATAAATTAAGCTTTCCAGAGGATGGAGTCAAGGTCCAAGAAATAGCTCCCTGTTTAGTCCTTGGAATCTTGCCTCTGGCAAAGAATGCTAAGCCTTATTAAAAGGAACTTTGAAGAAAATGGAGTTTGCTTAGGGCTGCAGGTTGGAAGGTACTCAAAATGAGAAGAAACAGCTGCAAACACCCATCAGTAATCAGAACGTGGAATGTTTGAAGTATGACTCTAGGAAATTTGGACCTCGTCAAAAATAAATGGCACGGATGGAGGCAGATCCCCTAGGCCAGTGGTTCTCCACCTTTCTCACGCCGCGACCCTTTCATACAGTTCCTCATGTGGTGGTGACCCCCAACCATAACATTATTGTCGTTGCTACTTCATCACTGTCATTTTGCTACAGTTATGAATCGGGCGACCCCTGTGAAAGGGTCATTCAACCCCAAAGGGGTTGTGACCCACAGGTTGAGAACCGCTGGCCTAGGCCTTCACTGGAGTGGATGGATATTGGTCATTTTGCTGAGATAGTCAGACAGTCGGCTCTGCTGAGAAAGACACACTGAAAAGGACCGACAGCACACTCACTGTCAAAGAGGACATATTAAGATCGGTCCTGAGTCCAGTCCAGTCAATGATACGATAATATCCATACCTCTACAGGGAACACTACCACTTGTCTGCCACTTTGTTATACTGCAGTGGCTTATGTGATGCTATGGAAACTCTGTCCCTGGTATTTCACATACCAGCAGGGTCACCCCCGGTGAACCTGGCTCCTTGGAGCTTCCAGTCTAAGAACAAACTAGGAAGAAGAAGTAGGCCATCCACTCTGAGAGGATTAGCCCCTGACAACGTTATGACGAGCAGCGGAACGTCGTAAATAGATGTTTACCTGTGTTTTATTGGCTGTGCAAACTCATTGGACTGAGGATCATGGCATACTATGGATGGCACTGAGAAGAATGGGAATCCCAGGACCCTTTGTTGTCGTGCTCATGCAGAAACTCTGCAGAGACCAAGAGGCTGTCTCAGGAACAGAACAAGGGGACACTGCGTGGTTGAAACGCAGGAAAGCGGTGCGTCGGGGTTGGATCCTCTCACCACACTATTCAAGCTTTATACCGAGCAAATAGCTCAAGAAGCTGGACTGAGTGAGGAAGAACTGGCATCGGCCTATTGACGACAAAGAAGGAGAACTTAATGCCTTTGCTGATGAAACCAAAGACTGCAGTCTTCCGTAGGGTTATCTCCCTGCCGTGGAGTCCCTTCCCACTAGCCGCCCTCTGGGACAGGAGCGAGCTGCCCCTGTGGGTTTCTGAGACTGTCTCTCTTGACAGGAGCAGAAGAGCCTCCTCTGCCCCCTGCCAATAGGGGCTCTCACTCAGTGTAAAGAGAACCAGAGTGCTCACAACTGGACCAATAGACCACATCATCATAAACCTAGAGAAGAAAAGATTGAAGTTGTCAAGGAATTCATTTTGCTCGGATCCACAATCAGTGCTCATGGAAGCAGCAGTCAAGCCGTTGAATGTGTACTGCATTGGACCAGTCTGGTGCACAAGACCTTTTGAAAGGGTTGAAAGGCAAGCCTTGACGCAAGCCATTGATGTGTTCAACCGCCTCCCATACAGGTAAGAGCTGGACACTGAATCAGGAAGCCTGGAGAAGAAAGGATGCATTTGAATGACGGTGCTGGCATAGAACATTGAAAATACTGTGGAGTGCCAGAAGAGTAAACAGATCTCTCTTGGAACGCTCCTCAGAAGCAAGACATGTTTTCAAGAGAGACCAGCCCTTGGAAAAGGGCATCATGCTTGGTAATGGAGAGGGGCAGTGAAATAGGGGATGGAGGAGATGGATTGACACTGGTAAAGATGGCACAGACCCGGCCAGTGTTTCATGCTGCTCTTCATTGGGTCACCAGGAGTAGGAACTGATTTGGCAGTATGTAACCAAAATAACAAGTGGCATAGTGTGTTAGGAGGTGAGGTTTTCACGACAAGGGCTGCAGTTCAAACCCATCAGCAGTACCTCAGGAGAAAGAAGAGGCTCTCTACGTTTGTAAAGACTGACAGTCATGGAGACCCTTAGGGGCAGTTCTGTCCATCGGGTCGCTGCGAGTCCGAATGGACTCAGTGGATATAAGTTTGTTTCTCTTTTTAATTATGAAAGCTTTAATTGAATAAGAAGACATAACCATAATTCGTATATGGGTACCAAATGGAAGACTATCAAACTTACAGAGATAAATAGATCATAATCTAGGAGACTGGCTTCATACATCATTTTCTTTTTCTTTTTTCTAACCGTTTTAGTGGGGACTCTTAGCACCTCTTATTATAACATTCCCTGTATCAATGGCATCAAGCATATTTGTACATCTGTTGCCCTCATCCTTTTTTAAACATTTCCTTTCTGTTTGAGCCCTGGGTATCAGCTCCTCTTTTTTCCTTCCTACCCCCGTCCTCCACCCTCATGACCCTCTGATAAATTATAAATTATTATTATTTCATATCTTACACCGACCGCTGTCCCCCCTCCCCCACGTTTCTGTTGTTCGTCCCTGGGGGGAGGGTTGTGCGTCGATCATTGTGATCAGTTCACCCTTCCTCAGCAGTGAGTTTTTGAGATTCAAATGTATGCATCACACACCAAGGCCAACGATGAAGAAATGACAAGTTTTGTTACCCACCTTTTGAGTGGTTTTAAAAGTGATTCAACATATAATCAAAATGCTTTGATACTTGTGCTTGCAATGAGAAATTAGAAACCAAGAAGGATCAGCGGTTGGAAAATATGGCCTTTGTGATAGAAACAATCACGAGATTGGGTTTTGCAAGACCGATGACTTTGCAAAGGTCTTTTTTTCAATGCATTAGTGGCAACTAAACAGTGAACCTCCCTGGACGGAATACACAGGATTCAGGCAGACGACATCTGTGAAGAGAGAGGATGGGAATGCTCGTTATCACCGGTCAGAACATGGCCAGGGTCAGCGCCGGAACAGGTTGTCCGTTGTTCATGTGCCAGTTCATACTGAAGCTGAAGAAAATGAAACCAGTCATAAGAACCAAAATACGACCTCGAGTGTCTACCAGCTGAGCTTAGAGACCGTCCCAAGGATAGTTTTGGTGCACTGCACGTCAGTGACCGGAGACCGGCACGCTGTGGACGACATCAAAGACGTCATCCACGAGGAAGCCACAAGGCCACGAAGAAGACAAGACTGCGGTGGGTGGGAGAGGCAGCTCTGAAGCTTGCTCTGGAACATCGCCTGTCCAAAGTGAAAGGGGAAGTGAGTAAACACGGAACAGAAGCTGTTACAGGGCAGCTCCAGGAGACAAGGGGCAGGGCCGTACGATAATGAGATGCGCAAAGATCTCGGACTTGAAAACCAAACGGGAAGAACACGCTCGGCAATGCCCGAGGTGCAAGAACGGAAGACGAAAGCCATCCGTTGTACTATGGAAGGTTCTGGAATCCTCCAAAGAAGAGCAGGAGGGTGGACACAGAGTCAGAAGAAAGAGTTGATATTCAACTGTTCCAGCAGGTACCGTGGTTCCGAAGGAAGATGTTCAACTGCGCAGAAGGCATGGGTGCCAGAGCTCCAGGACTTGCCAGAACACCAATTGAACTGTTTCAACGAACACATGCAATGCTGGAAGCTCTTACTCATCCCTGCCTGGAAACTCAGGAGACGCCCACCTGGCCCACGGACGACTGGAAGAGATCCCTATGTGTGCCCATTCCAAAGAAAGATGACCTAATAGATTGTGGAATTTTAAGAAGACAATCCCATGGATATTCCATACCAGTAACGTTTTGGTGAGGATATTGAAGCATGTCGGTTACAGTAGCACACCAACAGGGACCTGCCAGAAATGCAAGGCCGAATCGGAGAGGATGGGTAATCCCTGTGAGACCAGAGGAGGTGTGCTGTGAGCAGAGAACACCAGAAAGATGTTGACCTGTGTTTCGTTGACTCTGCTCTGTAGAGCATAACAAATTATGGATGACATTGTAAGAAATGGAAATCCCAAATACGTTATTGTGCTTATTCAGAACCTGTACCCAGACCAAGAGTCTTTCTCCTGGAAAGAGAACCGGGAGTGTTGTTTGGTTTGCAGTTGGGTCAGGTGTGTATCAGGATGGTACCCGTTCCCCATACTGATCCAAGCTTTGTGCTGAGCTCCTCACTGTAGAGGAGCCTGGCCTCAGGGTGGGAGGAAGGCTCATCACCAACTTGCGATGGGCCGATGCTACAACCTTGCTTGCCCTAAGTGGAAGAGAATTGAAGCTCTCAGTGAGGAAAGTCCGGGCTTTCACTAGGACATTTTGCTCAAGGTGGGATAGAAACTAAGTCCGTGAGCAGTCAATGAAAAATTTTGAGCCAAATAAAATTGTTCTCATTGGGCTCCCTTAATAGCAAACCCCAGGGGCTTGTTGGGACAAATGATGGCATATGTAGATCACAGCTTATTGTGAAGCCATTAACATGCTGTCTAAGAGCATCACATGACAAAGCAGCTAATAATTTATAATTACATCAAACAAAGTATCCACATAATTAGTTTAGCATGATAGAAAAAGTTCTCTGCATATACTAGCCTCAGATAGAGTTCGGAAACTCAGAGACTGGGTGGCAGAATGAACACCTCTTGGAGTAGTCGTCTTATGGAGCCACGGTGGTGCCGTGGTTACACACGTGGCTGCTGCCCCCAGTGGGAGAGATGGAGCTTTTGACCCAGTAAAGAGTTACAGTCTTGGAAACTCACAGGGGCAGCTCTGCCCTGTGCTGTAGGGCTGCTGTGAGTTGGCACCAACTCGGTGGCAGTGAGTGAATTGCTGACAGACTGGTGATTGGAGCCCACTAGCAGTTCCACAGGAGAGAGAGTTGGCTATTGGCTCCCATTTGGATGAAAAGCCAAAGAAAAACCCAACTCACTGCATGTTTTAAAAAGGGACTCACGTGTGTGTATTGAGGGACTTACATGTGTGTTTACTTTTTAAATTGAAGTAATGCCTCAAGCTTAATCTTAGGTTTTTAAATTTCTTTCAGTTCTTGCTCAAATGAAGTTATATTTGAACACAATTGATAACAGAGAAAAGCAGGACAGTTGAGCAGAGTCCCACCAACTTGCCCCCCTTTTCTCACCGTAGCCCCAGAGGCACCTCTTTGGTTTTTTTAAATCATTTTATTAGGGGCTCATACAACTCTTATCACAATCCATACATA